AGTGCATCGTCAAAAAAGAGGGAGATTGCTGAGATTGTTGATAGGGGGAACACAGGTTTAGCTGAACCCACAATCTCTGTGATATCTGTTTTTGATTATGACAACACATAGTTAATAAAAACACATGTATATCTACTGTGTTATATGTGTTATATGCCTATATGCTTAATGTGAGATTTGTACAAGCATAACTGTAAACATATTATGTTGCAAACTATTGTGTTGGAAATATGATTCTATCTACACATGCATAATGAGTTTTGAAATGAAAAAACCACATGCACCAAGCATATATGTATGACTTAATCGATTACAATGGTGTGATAATCAATTAAAGTCATCAAACAGCTTAAGCTTTCAACTGTGGCAAAACAACAGGCTTTAAATCGATTACGTTAGTGGTTAAATCGATTAAAACTCGTGTATTTGCACAAATATTTTTCAAGTGTGCTGTGATGGATTTTGAAAAGAAAAGTTTTCAAAAATATACTAACTGTTAAAACTTAATCAATTACATACATCTTGTATTCAATTAAGTTTGTTAAAGATTTGAAAACTATTTCATTACTTGACATAACGGTCACAATGGTCATATTTTTAAATATGTTGACCACGCATTAAATGTAAATCGATTACATTAATTGTGCATTCAATTAATGAGTTTGACTATTGTTAATATGTTATAACTGAGATAAAATCGATTAGATTAATAACATAATCGATTAAAACGCGTCTGATTTGAGTTAAACTATATATAGACGCATGATTTGAATTTTTGTAAGACAATTGATTTTAACACTTTCATATCTATTTCAGATAAATGTTTAAAGTTTTATAGAAGAGGAAAATACTCCAAGAACCAAGAATTGTTGCGGTGTTCAAATCTTGAAGGTTGCTTGAGAAGCTGGATTGATTGATTCAACTATTTGATCGTTATGCACAACAGAGGTGCATACTACTGGATAGATTTATTCAACTAAAGCGTTTGTTGTTTCCCTATGATGTATACAGGAAGACAAACGTGTGGTTCTTGACTTTAAGAGGGATCTCAAAGGGGTTGACTGTAGGAGAGGATTGTTCTTACTGCTAGTCTGTTGTAATTGGCTATTTTAGATTAGTGAGTTAGAGAGGTTGTTTTAATTTTGACGAGTGAGGTCGCTGTAAAAACCTTGTTGTAAAAACTCAGATCTTATAGTGCAATTGGCTTTCGGTCTAAGGTTGATCGGAAGGACACTGGATGTAGGCTTGGTCGAACTAGTATAAAAACTCAGAGTTTGAATCTTCTTCTCCCTAACTCTCTGCATTTAATCGATTGCATAATATATGTATTGGAATACGCATATTGTTACATTGCATACACTTTTACTTGCGATTCAAGAAAAGTTTAAAGACATATAAGTTTAAAAAAAAAAATAAAAAAAAAAAAAATTTTAAAAAAAAACAAATTCCCCCCCCCCCCCCTTGGTGTGAGAAACGAAACACATCTTTTTAACATGGTTTATACTAGATTAACTTACTAGATCGTTTAACTTAACTGACTTAAACAAACAAGTATTTTAATTCACTTCTAAATATACAAAAACAACAAAGTATTTTTATAAAACAAGTATAGATGATAACTCTCTTGGAGAGGATATATTTTCAATACAAAGAATATTTGAAAACTAATAATAAAGCTTTTCTTTTTGAAAGAATGTTAGACGACGCAAGCTTAAGAGAAACTTCATAGCATAAGAGTAAGCAATAGTTCTTATTGTTTTTTTCTCTTATGCAACCCTTTTTATATAAATTTCTTCGAAAAAGATTGGTTACTCAGAACATTGACTTTCATATTGTTAGAGCGTTGCAGCAGAATGGTTAGCATATACAACAAACCAAGAGAGGATGAATTGATTTCTTATCGCAAATAATACCTTTAATAGTTTTCTCATAAAATATAAATTTCTTAATAACAATTTAAACAAATAAAAGAGTAAGGAAGAGATAAAATTACACAGGTGATTTTTATACTAGTTCAGATCACACAGATCCTACGTCCAAATGTTAATCTCAACTAAGAATTAACGCTTCACTATCACAAACCAACAAATTGTTATAATCACAAAGAAATAAACAAGTTTAAGGTTAGAACACCTTTCTTGTTACCACAAGAGATGAAACTCACTTCCCCTGAAACCCACAAGGGATGAACACCTCCTCTGAATGTTTCACGAAGGATGAGCACCTCCTTTGAATCTTCACAAAGAATGAACACCTCATTTTAATCTTCACAAAGGATGACAAGTTTTAACTCAACAACACACAATCATACTCCTAATGAAAGTTCTCGCTCTATGCAAACACCAAGTCTTAAAACCAACGCACAAGGGTTACACAAACTCTAGAACACTTGTCACAACAACATATAAGAATTTCGAAATCAAAATATTTGTATTGCATATATTAAAGTGAGAGTCCCAATCTAATTTATAGAAATCTCACTCAAGGATACCTTCAAAAATCCGCTATCTACTAATTACCATGTGATAATCGATTATCCACTTATTATAATCGATTATGCTTTTAATGAATGCACAACGGTCAAACACTTGCTTACAAATTTTCATAATTTCTCGTGATAATCGATTATGGCAAGTCATAATTGATTCCTAATAATCGATTATTATAAGTGGATAACCAATTATCTTGAGTATAAGATGAGGTTTTCTGATTCAAAATGAATTTTATCGCAACCTAAGGCAAACAATACATAGAATCAAAGATAAACCACATACTATACATAAATATACTAAATTGCAAAAGCTTTAACACAAAACAGATCTTCATGAAGATCTTCTTGCAACAAGAGCACTTGAGACTTGACTTTTTGACATCATCAAAACTTCTTATCTTCAGATTTATGCTAACACATATAGAGCCTATAGCCTTTGGTATGAGGTCAGATGTTATTGTTGTTTTTCCATAGGCAACTATGTTTCTTGTACAGATACAACAGACATAAGGAATTGAGGAAACATTCCTAGAATGTCTTCCTATCTTTCAACATTCTTTTAATCCAATGATGAAATTTTGAATAAAGCTTTGTGCAGTATTGATCTACACAGAAAAAGATAACACAACATAACAAATAAGAGGTATTATTCATACATGTATTTAATATGTTAGACGTACATAAGCATTTAGACATAACACATGTATTGGCATTTATATGTAGTTTGTTTAGAGCAATGTTTAACATTTAGGATAGTGTTTAGATATATAACGTTTAACGTGTTTATCTTAGACGGTTCATTTTAATACACACTATTTCATTAGACACTATTGTTAAACTTTAAAACAAGATTTGATAGACGATACTTTCTTAACAGAAGAATCGAGTCAAGGTAGTCTAGTATGAAGGTCAAAACTAACTTGGTCTAAGTCGAAGAATCAGGATGAGTCACACAAATCAATTTTTCTATCGAGTTGACCGAAGCTGAAACTCGAATCGAGTTGATTAATTAAGTCATCTTGGGCCAATATTTAACCAAGTCATCCCCAACACAAGGTCAAGTCGAGTCAACACAATCCCAAGTCAAACTAAGTCAGCATAGTCATAGATCGAGCCAAGTTAACACAAACCTAAGTCGAGTCGAATCAGCACAAACCTAAATCAAATTGTTTAGACCTAGCTCGAACTAAGTTATCTCTCACCTTTGTTAATGAAAGATTACCTAAGTTAGGTCAAGTGAAATAGACTTAGGTTGACACCAGCTGACTTAGGTTTAGGTCAAACTAATTCAGTTGAGTCTATACCTATTATATCTAATACTCAAATATATTAGATCAATCTAGATTTAACTTATTTCACAACGTAAATGTAATATAAATTTAATCAAATTGAAATTAGATTGAAAAAAAAATCTAAATATAATTAATTTAATTAAATTAATCTTGAATTAATCTATTTTATTGAATTTAAATTAGATCTAAATTAAATTTTGAAAATTTTAATAAGTTTTTCTATCGAAATTTTCATTGGAAAGTAAAAAACTTGTTTACGTAAAATTATAATATAAATTTATAACAATTATGAAAGGAAGAAGAACAACATAAAATGGATAAGTGTAAATATATTCATATATCATTATTTTATTTACATTTATTATATACTTATTTTTTCTTTTTATTTCTCTTTTCTTATTTGACTATATAACATATAAAAGTATAGTTTTTAATCTCGATAAATATATATATATATATATATATATATATATATTAAATTGTATGTGCCATTTTATATTCATAAATATTTTTCAATTTAAAAAGAGAAGTTAAATAGTGAAAGAACTCGTTTTAGTCTTACTTTTTACTTGCTTTTTACTCTCTTACAAAACATAGCCAACCTATCTAACGCAACACGTGAAGTTCCACCTTCACCCAATTCTTCTGCGGCACTGAGTTTCATCTTGAAAACCCTCTGACGAATCTCTTTCCCCGTGTCCGATTCCATGAGTTCCTTCAATCGCTCCCCGAATTCACTCCCACTCACCAGCCCATCTTTCTCCTCCTTCAACGCCAAAGCCACCTTCATTTCCTGAACCATAAACACCCTATTCAGCTTCTGCTCCGAGTACAATGGCCAAGCCACCATTGGCACCCCTTCGCACACGGCTTCCAGCACCGAGTTCCACCCGCAGTGAGTCACAAACCCCCCCACTGAGTCATGACTCAGAATCTCCCTCTGTGGAGCCCAGTCCCGAACCACCAACCCCTTCTCCTTCGTCCGATCCATAAACCCTTCGGGCAACAACTCGTCCAAACTGGGCTTCTCTTCCAGCGAGTCACCACCCTCCAACTCGGTTCTCACCACCCACAAGAACCTTTGCTCGCTCTTCTCTAACCCAATAGCCATCTCCATCAACTGCCTCCTCGAGAACCATCCCATGCTTCCGAAACACAGCAACACCACGCTCTGACTCGGTTGCGACTCGAGCCAACTCAGACAACCTTTGTCTTCTTCCCCATATGGTGCAGAAATAACAGGGCCCACGAAAAACAACGGTGGCAGGATCCTATTGTCGTTCAACACTGCAATGGCTTTCTCTTCAATCGCTTCAGACGTGTTTATTATAATTCCAGAACTACGCTTCATGGCTTCCGCTATCCGACCGAAAATCTGGTTAGTGTAGCTCAAAGGGTCGAGGGTTTCGTTTGGAAAGACATCCGTGGATATTGCAGGTAACCCTGGGAAGTCAAGTTGAAATTGTTGGTCTTTGACTTGTTTTGGGAGAGTAGTGGGGAAGTGAAAAAGCACAACGAGGCTGGAGGCTGCGGAAGTGTAGTAGAAGAAAATGGGGATGTTTGTGGTGAGATTTTCCGTGAGAATTTTGGGGTTGCTGAAGTTTAAGAAGTCCATGACTAGGGCTTTGATATTGGAGGCTTTGACGAGGCTTTGGAGTGCAAGGACAACGTTTTGTGTGCTGTGTCGGGAGAGTTCGAGGGAGATGAGGTGAGGAGGGAGGGAAGGGGTGTCGAGGGGGAGTTGGGCCATGGGAACGCTGTGGAAAGTGATAGCGGGGATGGTGGCGGAGACGGCGGCGATGTATTGGGCGTTGGAGTTGCAGGCTAGGGTGAAAGTGGCGTTGGGGGATGGGGTGAGGATGAGGATGGTGATGGAAAGAGAAGGGTGGTGGGATAGAATGAGCTTGCCTAGCTCCACCATGGACACTAGGTGACCCCTACCAATGTTGGGGTACAGAACAATGGTGTCTTTCATGTTGGAGAAGAATGGTGAGTTCAGTTTTTTTGTTATGGTGTTCTAAGGGAGATTCTTATGGTTCTATTTAAGGACAATGAGTCATGATGCCTTTGTTTTTTTGTCCTATTTCTTTTCACTTCAACAATCATGGGTTCATAATTTTACTCGTCATTGTTCATCTATCATTTTCTTTTACCAACAAAGGACTATAGTTATTATTTTCCCATAAGAGAAGTGTCCTTCACAAAATGTTTTATGCCCTCCCGTGACTCTTTTCCCTTTTAGTAAATAAAAATAATTGATGTACACCAAACAGGTGTGAATACTTAAAATTTATTTAGAAATAAAAATAATAGATGTATAAATTATTCATATTATAAAAAAATATATATAGAAAAAATAAATATACAATGAGTAAGGTATATTTATATTATTGTTTATTAGATATATGATAGATTATCAATATATATATATATATATAATTTTCTTCTTTCTTTATTCTAATTGTTTAATTTATTCTATGTTTAAAAAATTACATATATATTTTCTAGGTGTTTTTCTTATTATCACAATCTTGATTACACTTTTTTGTGTGGTTATATTCAAATGGTTAGAGCTGTTAAAATGGTTCACAACTCGTGGGTCAATCCGATCCATCACGAGTTCGGGTCAGGTTGAGTTTGAAAAAATTGTATTTTTTTTATGCGGGTCAGATTTCAATCTGGCTCATTTAAACCCGGCTCATGCGGGTTGAACCTATGATGGGTTGAGTTGGTCCACCAACTCACTTATCTAATTTTATTTTATTAAAATTTAATTTTAATTTTATAAAAAATATTTATTATTTTTTTTTGCTTGAAAATATTATTTAAGTTCCTTATTTTCAAAATTAATTAAACACCATGTTGCGAGTGAAATTTGTTTAAATTTGAATTATAGAAAGGTTGTAATTTTTTTTATTTTAAAAAAATTGTAATTAAGTGAGTGAGTGAGTTAGTGAGCCAACCCGTTTACCCACCAACCCGTGGTGGGTCGGGCCTGGCAAATTTTTTTGGCTTGCTAATAAATGAGTCGGATTGGGTTGACTCACTAAGTGACCAACCCATAGTGGATCGGGCCGGGTCGGGTCAGATAGCCCGTTTTGATAGCTCTACAAATGATATATTATCAATTTTAATTAATTAAATAGGTTTTAGGTCACATTTGATTATTTTGAATCCTTAATATTTCAATTTATTGTTTATTTTTTTTCATATAAAAATATTTGAATCTCAATTTCAAGTATTCAATCGGGTAAGTCATTTATTGACTAGGTAATATAAAATCTTATCTTCTTTTATTCTCTTCGATTCTTAATTTTTGTTTTATTTGAAAGAAAAATTATTTTGCTAAAACAATTTTCATTATCTTTAAATGGTTAAACTATTTCTCGAATATTTAAGGTATTTTTTATTTTATTAAACTTTTAATTATATTTTGTTTTTCTTTGTACTATTTTATTCAATAGTGTATTACATTATTTTACCTATTTTAATATTTTTATTTGTTATTTACTTTTATTATGTAAAATATTGTTTTGTTTATTTTTATATTATTATTTTAAGGTTAGATATTATTTTAGTCCCTTAACTTTGAAAAAAAATTAGAATTTTTCCTTAGTATGAAACTCTAATACATTTTGGTTTCCAAACATTAAAAGTATATTTTCGTTTTAATTAAATTTTTTAAGTTTCAAATGTATTTCATGCTAACATTTGAGTTACTTATACCGTTTGAATCATTATCACTTCAATGTCAATAGGAAAACATGGTTGAAACTTAAAAAAAAATAATCTAAGAGTTAAATGGACTATATTTCATTCATTTTTAAAGTTGGGACCGAAATGTATCAAAAATTTTGGACATAGATGAATTTTAATTTTCCATCAAAGTTTAGGGACTAAATACATTCTTAACCCTTATTTTTGTTTTATAGTTCTCCCTTATTTTTGTTTTATAATTATTTCTCATAAGTGTAATTTTACCACCTATTTACATTAAGATCTTTCATTTTCTATAATATAACAATTTAAAGTTATTGTAAAAAATCATGTTTACACCATCCTACATAGGTTGAAGTTCAGAGAAGTTCAATGAGAGATTTATGTCTATATTTGAATTATTATTAATTTAATATTTTTTCTATACAATTTCATTCAATATAATATTTATGAGTGTATATAAGAAAAGAGATTAGTAAAATGACGTTTGCATATTTTTAAACTTAAATATTTTTTTCATTTTATAAATTTTAAAAACTACTTCTTAACTTTATTTGCAAAATTTGTAGATGTTTTGATTGTAAAATTTTATCAATATTATTTGTGAAATATTTTATATAATCATTTGATACTGTAATTTGAAATATGTACCGTTATAATTTCTTTTGAATTAATATTTAACATTAAAAATATGAGATTACGTTTTTATTTATTAAATATTTGATAATTTTATGTTTCCGTTGATACAATTTTATTTTTCTATAGAAAATAATTAATTGAATTTGAGATAGATAAGGGATATACCTGTAACTCAATGAGATGAGAATGAGATAAATGTCTTATACTTCTTATGAGATGAGAATATTGGTAAATTTTTATTATAGAGTTAGTATGAGATAACGATTTCGTCTCAATCCCACGTTATTGTCATGCTTAATTATCACTGTATTATACTTTCGAAAGTTATCATTTTTAAGTTTATGATCTTAATTAAAATTATATTTTAATTTATTCATTTATATTAACATATCTATAAAAGAAAGAAACATATATGTTTGATGTCCTAGTTCTTAATTTTGTATTAATGATGACTTTGGAATCACAACGACAATTTTAACTATTGAATAATTTAGAACCTATTTTCTATTTATATTTTAAATGTTAATAAATATAAAGTATAATTTAGTAGAAAATACTAGATAAGTTATTCAACAAACTATAATATTTCATATGTTTGATTTATAATAATAATTAATCTCATAAAAATTGGCAATTAACCTAACTAATTTTAACAAAAAAAAAATGTACATACTGTTTAAAAAAACACCAGTTATAATGGTTTTTAAATGAATTATAAATTATTAAAATTTAATCCTTTAATACTTACTATATAGTTAAGTAGATTGAGGTAACAAATAAGGATATTATAATTTATTAAAATGAAATACCGCTTTTATCACAAAATGTACCTGTGTAGACTCTTTAAGTTTTTTAAAGAATTTTTTTTATAAATAGTTGTTCTCCTTCTAGTGGCTAATTTTTCAACAGAAGTTGGGTTGATGAAAGAAAATAGATTGATTTGTACTACACAATAGTCTAAGCTCGCATTTAGTTAAACAATACAATAAAAAGTATAAGTAGTAACAAAGATACTTAATACAAAGATTTGCATTAATAGAATTCATGACAGGCAGCATATCTTGACTATCCAACAAACATCTCAGGTACATAGTTTACTTACGTCGGAATTCAGCTAAAAAATATAAAAGGAAAAATTAAGTTACTCAAACAAATATGACCTATAAATAATAAATCGAGCGTCACTCCAGAGACCACTGAACGCTGAACGGTTTCCCAAAACGGCTCTCCCAAGGTTGACCGAGCAGTTCCATAAGGCTGACTCTTCCAAGGTTGACCGTGTGACTCCCCCAAGGCCGGTCCCCTACGACAGACTCCTTTAAGGTCGTCCCAGAACCGACCATTCATAAATCGAACGGTCTTCGCAAGGCCGCCCCTAGGCAACAACCTTGGCCGACCACCCTATTGACCATCATTAGGTCGACGGTACGATTAAGCACTAATGACTCATTAAAGCCCCTAATGGAGATTAAGATATGATTGGGCCAACATCAGGCCCACAACAGGTAAAAGCCCATAACACTAATATAAATAAAGGTCATAGGTATGATTTCTGGACAGATTGCTTACGATGCAATATATACATGCATTACAGACCACTCAGTCATGTTACTGACTTAAGCGTCGGAGTGTCTTTGACAGGTACCCGACCGCCCGGCTTGGAGAACGAGGACAGAGAACGAATACTACAACCAGGACTTGAAGACGAGAGAGCCCGTTCGGCCCCTTCCCAAGCTCCACCCGGTCGTTCGACAAATTCTTGTAGTTGGTTTTAATAGTGTCAAACCAGATCCGACTGAAACATTTGGTGCCCACCGTGGTGGCCGAATTGAGTATTCCCCATTGTAACCCAAGGAACCGAATGAGGGGCACCTCAAAAGAACTCACTTCCACCGTTCACCCTTTGACTCGGCTTCATCAACCCAACAACTCAGTCTCCACCGTTCGGCGCGTATCCTCAGTCGTTCGGTTCAAGACCATTCGGCTTGCGGCCTCATTCCCCACCATTCGGCTCCCCCGCCCAGCTCGTCCGGTCGTTAGGCCTCTCAGCTTTTATGGGTTTCCATTCGGATTCGTCCGCTCGGCCATTGGGCCTAGAGTTCTGGCCATTCGGCCTCAACTTCCAACATTCGACATCGATCGTTCAGCCAGTTTGGCCTCAACCACTGGGCATCCCGCCTCAGTCTTGGTCAATCGGCCCCGAAGTCTCGGTCGTTCGGCCTCAGCTACGACTATTCTACATCATGCCCCTTGATGGTACTTCGAAATCCTGCATCCGTTTGGTATTAGCCATCAACCGTTCAACTGCGCACGCTCGGCCAGTACATTGGTTCTTAGGTACTTCACCAAATGTGGCATCAACCGTTCGACTGCGTGCGCTCGGCCAGTACATTGGTAAGGTACTTCACAAAATGTGGCATCAATCGTTCGGCATCCACCCTTCGGGCTTCGGACGTTCGATCTCAACAAGGCCTCCTAAGGCCTAAGCCGTTCTGCCTCGGCGTGGACACCTTAAGGCCTCAACCGTTTAGCAGAGGCGATTCGGCTTCGCGGCCTCGCTTCTGTAACCATTCGGTGACGAGGCCCCACGCATTCAGCCTATAAGGGCCTTACTCGTCCGGCCTCCTTGGCTCCCGATGGCCT